TAAATAAATTCTTAAGAGGATATATCTTTTAACAATTGTTTTAAATCTACAATATCAGTTAAATACTTCTCTCTTATTATTTATTTGGATATAAATCTTTCTAATAGAGTAATGATAAGTTCTTTAAAAAATTATGATTTATTTCTACTTCTACCAAAATTTGATTTAAAAGTAAATATCTCCATTCTTTATACCAATAATACAATAGATCACTTTAATAAAAAGTAAAAAAGGAATCATCAGTTTCAATAATTTCTTAAAATTGCAATGAAGATATATTATATTTAAAAATAGCTATATATAATTCTTTGTTTTACTTCATTAAAATAGCTAAATGAGAAGGGTTTCTAATGTACTTAAATGGATATGAAAATACATAATCAGAAAAACTATAATTAAAAATTTAATGTAATTCATAATCATTACAATAAATAAGGATAAGTGATCTTGTGAAATTTTGTAATGTAAAATTATTAGATTGTACCAAATTGCTATTATTGAATAGTCTTTATTTGTGATTTTTATAGTTTAAATCGAAATAATTAATCCCACTTAAAATTTAAAACATCTAACATTTCCTTGATTTTCTACAGCTATAAAATTTTTATACTAAATTAACTTTTAATATCCCATTTCTTAATAAAATAGAATAGGTTCTGATTAATAAAGACTCTTCGAAAGATATTTTCCATCTTCATTTAATTAAAAATTTTAATATATTAAAGGAGGTAAATTTGAATTATTCATGTATAGAATTACACTTTATGAAAATTTTTAAGAATTTATAATTGCTTCTTCAAACTTTATTTTTAATTAGAGTAATTACTCACCTTAAAATTATATTACTCTCAAATGATTGGTCTTGTTTTTGTTTATTATATAATAGTCCCCTTAAGATTCAAGTACTTCAAATTAATCTCTATTGATTGAAATAATTATTTTATTTTGCTTACAATTGTAAATATAAAAATGAGAATCATTTTGAAAACTTATGTAATAAGGAATATTTATTTATCTCAACTCAATCTTATCTTTAAAATAAAATGATTGAAGCTTTGATAAACAAGAATTCAAAAATTTTTGATTATTTTGTATACTTACACTTATGCTACCCTCATTATTATATAAATTGAATTAACTATTTTGGAATAAAAATAGTGCTTCTGACTTCCAGATTTTTTATTAGAATTTACTTTAACAATTATGTTATACTGTTATCTACTCAACTAATTAGGATTTCTCTTCTAATGTGTTATTTTCATAAATTGTTCTTAAACACATGAATAAAGTATCATTTTAAAACAAATCTTTGGGGTGAATTAGGTAGAGATACTTCTATTTAGGTTTTATAAAACTGTTTAATTGATAATATCTATAAAATAATATAGTATTATTTGATTGATCATATTAACAGAATAATTTATCAAATTCAAAAAAAAATAATGGAGTATTACTAATTTAATAAGTCTGATTAATATAAGGATTCAAAAAAACGTTTAATTCGAATTAGTTTTATAGGAAAAGAATATCTGAATAAAAATGGAATTTATTATTTTCATTTTTCAAATTTAGATTGAGCTCATTAATTGAAGAATCATTTACTTTTGAATTACTATTTTCTGTTGAATTTACAACAATTATGATTTAGCATTTCATTTATACTAATAATTTTTTTATAACTTTTGTGTGTTGAAATAAATGATAATTTAAAATTACTTTTTCTTTAGAATTAACTTCTATCTAAAGATAAGAATCTTTTTCTATTAAAAACAAAATTAATGTTAATTGATTCCATACACAAAAGGATACATCATTAATAAAGGAAAACCATAATTATAAAGTATATTAATCCTTCATTTAAGATTCTAATAGTGTGTTTCCTTCATTGTTTTTTACATATAATATTTTCCAACTAGAACGCTGATAAAATGCAATTATATATTAATTTTTGTTCCATTTAATCTATTATAAAATAAAATTCCATATTATATAAATAATTATCAAAATTGAAGTTTCTAATTGATTTAATGAAATTGAAACATAAATGAAGCATGCTTAATAACATTGGATAATGTTTAAATAATGGTCTTTTCTAGATATATTAATATATTTGGTCATTCTAAAAAATAATAATATGTCATTTTTGCATACAGCTTTCCAAAATGTAACTTCCTTTTTATTTTAATAATGGTCTTAAATCAATGCCTGAATAATTAATAAACTCAACCTTATGGACAAGAGCGTTTTAAGCTTAAAAAATTGGCGTTTTGGATATAAGAAAAATAGTATAATTTGTGGTGACTGAATAGCATAAAACAAAAATACCTGTAAAAGGGCTGTTTTATTTAAAAAAATCCTTGCAATTTTCAAAAATTTCTTTATATCTATTATCTGATGATTAAATTTATTCTACTGTCTCTACATCCCATAGACGGATGGACTTATCATCACTACCAGAAGCTAATGTATTTCCATCAGGAGAGAAATAGACTGACAATATACCACTAGTATGACCATCTAATTTGGCTTTTTATTACGCTGTTTTGACGACCAGAAGCTAATGTATTTCCATCAGGAGAGAAACAGACTGATCTAACCCAACTTGTATGACCATCAAATATATTTATTTCATGGATTTTAATGTTCTTCCATTTACAATTAAACATCTGAACACAATTCAAATTAACTCCACTTATATCTATATTATCAAATAATGATCCACTAAAACTACACCTTACAAAATTAGCTCCCACTAAGGAAGTATTTGAGATTTTTATGTTTTCAAAATTTTTGTTTTTAAGGTCCACCTTCATCTAAACTAATATGTGTAATGAATTAGACCCACCCTATATTGAAGTTTCATCAATGGATGTGAGGTGAACTAAAAATTACAAAAATTCAATGATCATTCTATTTTCCTTGATGCTATTTATAAGACTTAATGTTGATTCCTCATTTTCTTCAGAGGAAAAGTTTAAACTATTAAATTCATGATCTTTTAATTTTCTTATGACATCTGTAATTTATTTCATGTCATTAATAACAACAGATAATTTCTATTCTGTATCAGTTTGTTGTAAGATTTACTATTCTAACTGTCTCTGAATCTCAATGTCTGATAGATATCCAATGCAGTCTTAAACTTTTTAAAGAAGATATTTATTTAATTAATATCTTATTTATTAAGCCCCCATATTTTATAATTTTGAATTGGATAAAATTTCTTAATTTCAATAGAAACAAAGCCAAAGGATAAATTAAATAAAATATCTCAAATAGTTAAAATTTGATTTTCAATTACATTTATATAGTTTACTTTTTAGAGTATTCAAAATGTTAAATTATATATTTCATAGAAAATGGATCAAAAAATCAAAATAAAGCGCACTTAAAATCTATATTGCTCTATTTAAGATTTTAGGAATAATCTAATCTACTTTTTATTAATTGATTCTGTTAAAATAAAAATTGAAGAGCTTCAATGTAGAGAATCTATTGTATACAAATTTCTCTGCTAGATGATGAATTTTAAGGTAAGTTAAAAAGTAGTTGAAATATTTATTTTAATGGCGAATGTATTCTGAAAGAACTCTGTAATCGCTATTAAATATAAATAAAGCAAAACTAAAAATCAGTATCAATATTAAATATTATAAAATATTAGAATAAAGCGAATGTTTCACGAAATAGTTTAATGTAAGCTTGACATTATTTCAATATAATTGAATATTCTGAGATCAAAATACAAACTAAATCACTACCATAAATATAAAACGATGCATAAAATCTAATTAGAATCTAATCTATCAAAATTATTAACAAAATTTGATGAAAATAGTTAAAAAAAATGGTAGATAACAGATAATTAAAATTTTCAATTGCTATCATCATGTATGTACACTTAAAAGATAATCTAATGCCTATTAATTATCATTATTTTACTAATATAAATAAGAATTTGAGATACAAAGAGCAAAAATTTGATAACCACTTCTAACTATGATAGTTAGTAAAAAAAAACTGTCAGTCTAAAAAGTTGAAATTATATTTTGATTTCGAAATTTTTTTGAAGAAGAGTCTTTTATATTGTATTTCAAAATTAAATAAGTGTAAATTGATTTTCAAAATATCTGTTAATTCACTAAACCATTATTTACAATAAAATTAAACAATCATCATTAGATAATCTACAACGATAATTTTACTTTTTTTTTATATAAATAATCTTTATGATTTCATGTAATTAATGCAAATCTCTGCAAATTAAAGTTTTTTTCAATTAACAGAGACTTCAAATGTTATCATTCTCAAAGTCATAAAAATCAATAACTATTTGAATCCATAAACTAGTGTATCATTAAAAAGGAATAGGAATATAATTATGATAAGGATTA